ATCCAGGAAAAAGCTGTTTCGGTGAGGAGACTAAAGGGAGTGCTCATCAGTAAGAAGCCACAATTCAAGGAAGGAAGGAAGGTTTATATTAAATGGTTAGAATTAACAAACAGATGTTGCAATGGTAGGTCCTGTAGGAGTGTAAGACCTTGCGTACATAACTTGCATACCTGGTAAGCTCTGGGAGGTAGTTTAAAAAGGGAATAACAGAAACCAGAGTTTAGCTTCACATCTAGCACATCTAGCTTTGTGCCCACAGTTTTGTGGATATACATTGTTACAAAATAAGCAGTATTCTCTCTCATAAGTAGAAGGGAAGCGTGCTACTTTTAATTGTTGGGAGAGGGGTCTGTTTGTTATTTTCTCTATATATCTTTGGATACAATTTTTTTGGTAAACACGGTATTCTTATAATGAGAAAATGCTAAATATGCCAGAATAGGAACGACAGGAATAGCTGGATATGAAAGAAATAATGATAATTTGTTTAATAAAACATTTCAGGTCAGACACAAGAAATTACAAACCACTGAGGATGACATTAGGCAGAAGAAAGTACTTCTGCTGCATATAGTACCTCAGCACAATTTGACATGAAAAGCTAGTCAAAGCTGGAATCCTATTTATCCACGTTAGGGTGTTTAGAACTTTCGAACATTCCATAGGCTGAATAATAATCTGCGTGAACACAGATGCTGTTATGGTCTGAGGGTTCTTAACCCTCTAGAAGATATCATCTGCTTGCTACAGAAATTTCCAGTCTGGTTTAACCAAAGCTGTGTGATGATCTGTAAATAGTTACTTAGGTCTGCTTTGTTTTTAATGTTTTACATCTTTAATGTTTTTTCTTTTGCTTATATCTTAATGTTACTGATAGAATTGAGGCCACATTTTAGTCTTGCATCTGAAAGTGATACAGCAGATCAAGATGATATAGAAGCTGAAGAAGATCAAGATGAACAGCCTCAGAATCAAACTATCCAACAGCCTTGCATTGTCATGGAAGATGCAATAGCTACCTCAGGTGTAAGCACACTCAGCTCTACGGTATCCCATGACTCCCAGGCTGCTCACAGATCCCTGAGTGTCCAGCTGGGCAGGCTAAAGTTAGAGACAAACCGGTAAGTCTAGACATCAGGCGACACCATCCTACTTGCTCTTAAAATATATGTGCTAGAATACTAGGGACAGTATCAAAATTCCATAGTATTGCAACTTGTTCATTTGAATTGATGGCCATTGTTTAGCTGTGACTGATCAACTACATTAGATTTACTCATTGCAAAACAACAGTGATGCAAGTTAAGGTCAGTCTTGACTTCAGGTGCCCCTTCGAGGAAGGTCTGAAAAAAATTGGGCTTGCTGCCAAGCTCCTGCTTTTTCTCTCCTTCATATGCTGTGTATGGCTGATGAAGGCTGTTATGTTTTGTTTCCATGAAGGCAGAACTTGCTGTTCTTTTCTGTAGTTATTCTTGGGGAATGAACTCAAGCTAGTTGACAGCCACACATGAACTCCACAAAAGGAAACGGCTTCAGGCTTGTTTTGTGCACAGAATTCACTGCAGCGGGATTTGTGCTTACCATCAGGCTTTACCTTTTTATTGAATAAATTTTGTTCATCAGAGAGAGAGGGGGAAAGTAGTTGTGTGGCTTAAAAAAAGAAATGACAGAAATGTGGATATTGGAATTTTTTTTTTTCCAGAAATACACATACTTCACTTTAAACCTGAGAAATGGTTCTTGGGAGTTTCTTGTTTAAGAAACATCAGAGACAAATCTGTCTTCATTATTTTATAAAAAAAAAAAAAATTCTATAGATTTGGCTTTCTTTTATTAAAATCTACCAGAAAGTCTGTTTAAAGTAAATATTTTAGTTTTGCAGCATGATGTGTGACATTGGATTTCCTACTGGCCTCGCTAAATTTTGAATCTGATCTTGACAGAAGGAGAACATGTCTTGAATAAGACAGTTGTTATGCTGCTAGAACCTCATTTGTAGTTATTGTTTCAACTTAAATTGTTACATTGCACTTTACTTTTAAATTAGTCCAAATTTTGCCATAGAGCAATTCATTAAACTCTACTGTTTTTAAGAAAGTATCAATATCTTTTGAGTTCTTATGTTACAATTCTTTTTTTTTTTTGCTTGTGATGACCACTGAGAAATATCTTGATCGCCTTATTGATACAATTAGATACATAAATAATTTAGATTGGCTCACTTCCATTCCCAAGTTCATGATGGGGAGTAGCATCAGAAGTGATCCATTTGTAGAGGTGCTGCTTTCTAGCACTTGGCTTTTGTAAATTTCTCAAATGTGAAGCCTTTGGCCGAACAATCATGTCCTGTCATTCATGTGGCAATTTTGAGGTATGTAATATGGGCAGCTCTTTTAAGTATTAATTAAAACTGTATTGGCGTAAGCAGCAAGTAGTTCTCAAAACAAAACAGCTTATTATTTTGCTGGCCTTGAAGTCCTTTTTCAACCAGAACGGATAAGGGAGGAATAAATTAACTGAAAGGTGACTGCAAACCTGCCTGGAGAGGATATCAGCCTGCACTGAGATGATCCAAGCTGGGTAGGGGTGCGTAGGGGCACAAAGCAGCCCTGCTCACATGCAGGGTGGACTTGTTAAGAATTGTTAGCTCAGGTGTGGAAGCACTCAAATGCAACTGCTGCTGGTAGGCCTGCATGCAAACTAAAAATAGGGCTAGATGTTTTTACAAAGCAATCGTATGAAATGCAGCCTGCTTCAGTGCAAAAACAGGTGATGTCCTTTTGTGGCACATTCATTCTGTAGCTGAATTCCAGAACGTCTCTACCTTTCAGTGTCCCAGGAAAAAAAAAAGTTGCAGTGCTCAACTGGTATAAATAAACTAAAAACAAACAAACAAAACCATACTGAAATGGAACAGTTATTCCATAGCTCTCAGGCTGATGAAGCTTCAAGAAAGGGGTGAAGGTGCTGCAATTCTTTTGAGACAGAACTTTCTAAGACTCAGAAGTCAGTGATAGGTTTATGAGTGTGTTCCCCATGGCCAGTTTCTCTGACCAAGTTCCCGAATACGTAGTATTCACAAGTCCTCCTTTTTACTACAACACTTTTCTAAAATAACAAATAGCAGCAGTTTCACATACTTATTTTCCATTGTATTCTGACTGTTTTCCTTTGATCAGTTTGAAAGGTGCTGACCACTGAAACTCTCTGGGTTTCTCTCTGGGTGTGTGTTATGAAGGAAGTGAACCATGGGTTCCAATTTGTTTCTGCTATTTCAAAAGTAATTGCTTAGGAGAGGACACAAGGTATTTTGCCTCCTCTTTTCTCGCTTTTTACGTAGCACAGGAGGGTAGGCACAAAGTGAGGAAGGGACAGCCGTCGTGTGGATGAGAATGTATTTCCCCCATTTAAGAAATGTAACCATAAGTTTTCACCACGTTTTCATCCTAGCTCCACCCTTGCCATACCTTTGAAAATGTCTGCTGGAGAGATGTGACCTGGCGTTTTTCCTTACAAAGGATTATGTCACAAAGTTTAGCCCTCAGTTTATGAAACACTTGGATGTTTGTTCTTCTCAGTTTCGCGGTTTTGTTTGGAACAGAATGCTGGCTGTAGAAAATTCACTGAAATTTTGTACCATACCACCTGTTCAGGGGGTGGATGTGTATATGGAGGTTGGTGTGTTTGGGGCGCTTTATTTGTTAAAGAGCTATAACTTTAGGAACCAGTGAATATTTATGTCTTGATATAGGTCACAGTAAATCTGTAGTGCAAGGATATTCCTGTGACAGCTGAAGATGTTTGTCCTTATCTCTGTCAAGAAGGTTTCCAGTTAAAGTATAGGTAAGATCTTTGCTTTCCTGAAAATATGAAATGACCCAAGGAAATGTGTGCTTCCTTCTGTTACTTCACAGGTTATTGGAGGAGTTGGTTCAAAAGGAGAGAGAATTTCAAGTCCTCCTACATCAAGCTATAGAAGAAAAAGATCAAGAGATCAGAAACCTACGGCTTAGGTCACAGCCAATAGGTAAGTGAGAAGAGTGTTCAAGGAAAAGTTTCATACTGGCTGCAGATGGAGAGTGGCAGCTGAACTGTTCTTTTTATTGAGCCAGTCTCAGCAAAAATGCTTTCTCATGCTGCTTCTGGTAGGGTTTCCTTTGAAGTAAGAAGGTATGTGGTGGAAACAAATTACTGAATTAGTAAATCACAGTAAATGGAATGGTATGATTTAAATATTTTTGATTGTGATTACATGGAAGAGTACAAGGCTCATATCCTACAGAACATATATTATTTATAAAGAGGATAATCTGGTATGGTGCTCTTAGAATTACAGACTGTTCCAATTGTTACACTGAAAGTTCAAGAGGATCTAATTGTTGAGGTGTAAATACAACTTGAAGCTTACTGAGGGAAGCTGAGTGTGATGTACATCTGCCCTGAAGAAGGTGGAAGTGCTAATGCAGCTTGTTTCTGTTTAAAGTGCTTCAGAGAAGCATTGCTTTCCAGAAGCAGCCGATCCTCAGCCTGTGGCATTGCCTACACACCAATTGTATCAGATACGCTGAACAGTTTAGTTAAACTGATGCAACATTAGTAGTGCAGAAACAGTGACAGTTAAATCCATGTGCTTGGTACTAGTAATTTCCCAGGGAGGACAGAATAGGTATCTGTATCAATGTTCATGTTATTTTAACTGTACCCCTAACCAGGGAGAGTAATGTATAACTGTCTATAAACTCTAATCAAGTGTGTGCTTTGGGAATTTACATTTATCTCTACTTATGGGGGTACTCGTATTCTAAGCTTGAAGGGAAAGCTCACAGAAGAAAGTGCTTCAGCAGTCAAAAATTACAAGAAGTTGCTTTGGCAACACAAAACCTTTTCTCAAAAATGCTTTTTCTAGATATTCCTGGATTGTCTGTCTGTCATCGTCATTCCACTGGCACAGGGACCGAAGACCCTGATCTCATAAACTGGCTGAGTGTTCAAGGAGCTGATGAGGCCACAATAAACAAGGTAGCAATGATTCTGTTCCCGCTCTGACACAGTTGCAGTACTGTTTTGTGACTCCATGCAAGAAGGTACCAAACCTTTTTAATTACTTTAGCCCATTTTGAGAGATGCATTTGTTTTCAGAGGATAGGAAAACGCCATGAATATGAAGGCCTTCATAAACATACAGTATTGTTAATAATCCCTATATTTGATTACAGGTAAGGGAATAAAATGTCCTGGTAAACAGACAGTATTGCTCTGGTTCATAGTTTTTCAGTGTCTCTACGCATTGCAGCGGTTCCT